ATCAATAGAAATTCAAAATTTATTCAAATATGTGTGGCAGTTGGCAGTAAGCAGCTGACAGTTGGCAGTAAGCAGTCAGCAGTTGGCAGTAAGCAGTTGGCTGTCGTATATGGCATTCCATACCGTATATGGCATTCCATAGATAGGCATATTATTTCGCTGGTAAATTAAAATGAAGAACAAAGTTTAGGAAATATTCCTAAAAACCATACCCGATTGAAATAAAATCGATCCCGATCGAAAATAATTCAAAATTTATAAAGTTGTCAAACTAAATGCAACTGCCACCTATAAGACATGGATAAAAATAAATAAAGTAAATTTTGAACTATATAACAACAAAAGAGCCAAATTTAACAATACAGTTATAGTATTTTCTTCTTTATATAATTCCGATCGGGATCGGTTTAATTTGGGAAAAATCATAGATATGCGATGTGCCACCTATTGCCTGGTTTTTCGGTGAACAGCCTCTTAAAAACATCGTTGATGTTGATGCCTCATATCTTACTTCTGCATGGATAATAGTTGACGACTCTTTGGAATCTTGGTTCAAATGAACAAAATGTTAATTTTCTGTGAATATTTTTTTGTTTAAAAAGCAACTCTGCAATCTCCCCTCAATACCCCCATTAAAGTTCTTTATAACCAATAATGAAAAAAATGACCATGTAAATTTAATGAAATTGGAAAACTCCTCTGAATTAAAGTCAAACCACATTATCATCAACTTGATGGAATTGAGAAAATGCGTCAACATCTCTTAGAACATGAGAAATTTAGGGAAACATACTGAGAAATGAGTGCTTGAGACTTCAAATTTACTTTGACATTTTCAGGAATATGGTTTTTAAGATATCGGACTTTAAGATACCGAAGTGCAACTGCACTTAGTTGATATACAATATACGGGGGTTGTTCAGAAAGTTTGTGGACTTCTGTCATGTATCTCTTATTTGACGTCATGATCATGTGTTATCCAAACTTAGTAGAAATATTTAATTAATTCAAATGATTTGTATTCTTTTTTTTTTTTAAATATCATGATTTATTCAAAATTTATCTAAATTTAAAAATGCAAAAAATCGGATCGCGGAGCATGTCGAAATATAGTAAGAAACTTACAATTGTCTGTACATGTAGTCATATTGTCTATAAATTGGAGCAAGAACAAAAATAAATCCCTAGAAAATCAAATTGAGATTTTCTACATCGACTCGTATTCCAAAATTATAGCTTAATATTTTGCTTCTTTTAAAAGAAATCAACATGAGATCGAGAAGATATGTAATCCTCATTGAAATCGACAAAAAACGACGTTTTAGATAACAGTGCTGCAGTTAAGGATTTTACTCGGAAAAAATCCTTATTAACCTCTAAAAATGTTGTTGAAATTTAAAAAAATATCACAATCGAATTGTGTATGTGTACGTGTACAAACAGTACAGGCAGTATTTAAGTGACAGAGACTCTGTATCGGATGAGGATAATCTATGAAGAACCGGTTTAACTGTAAAAATCTGAGAAAAACTTGATAAGTTGGAACGTAAAGGAAAAACATGTTAAGCACTTCAGAGTTGATTATCCTGTGTAAGCAGAGTTAATTAATTTTTTTAAAAAATTGAAACACTGACAAAGGAAATTGATACGAGAACAATTGTAATAAAATAAACGTCGATTGAAAAATCAAATGGAATGAAACTTCACACATCAACAAAACAAATATTTTTACATATCATATTGTGCTTATTCAATTTTTTTTTGAAAGTAATAAAACGAAGATTGATATCGTCCATGAACTTTTTGAACAACTCTCGTACATTATTTCATATGGAAGACTAAAATAAATAGTTACAAATAATTCGTACCATGGGTAGGAAAACCACAATCTAGACAGGGACAGCACTGTCCGGGTATTGTCTTTACTTGCCATCCGCTAGGCAAAACCTCAATATTTGGACATCTGTAACAAAAGATCATATTCTCAAAACTAAGTATCAGATATAAATTTGTTCATATGAAATTGTCACAGATTTATTTCTTGAAAATTCATGACAGTAACATGTCTTCGAAGCATACTCTTCTGCAATAACCGTTCACCCACGAAGCAGACAAGCCGAAAAAGCATCATCAACCAACACCCAGAAATGAACCGATTATGTGGAACTCTTATCCATCCTTTCAAAATGCTGAGTTTGATCAAATAATATATTCACAGACTATTTCTTATATCTTTTTTAAGTATAGCATTAAAGCAGGCGTTAAACAAAATGTATTTTGTTATGTAATCTTCTCTTAATATTCATGTGTGTGAACCACTATATAAATATTGCATGTAGTTGAGTGTAACATTGAAAATTGGTTGACAATGGTTTTCGAGGGGTGAACATTTTCAATGTTACACTCAACTACATGCAATATCTATTATATTATACTGAATGTTTTATACAAATACATATTACAGTGAACCGTGCGCGCATTACTTCCGCGCAGTCACTATTTTTTGTAATACCACCCGTCGTCAAGCAATGTTGACTGTTGCTATGCAGGAGGGCGTGGCTTCATTATTCAGCGGGTTGAAGTGTTTTTTATCAAATGTTTCTCGACGAATCAGATTCAAGTAATTTACAGGAAAGTATAATATAAAGAAATATATATACGTGTATTTCTTAATATGTGATTATATGTGAGTTGTAATTATAACTCTTGGCTTATCATAACTTTCCTCATTCATAAAATTTAAAATATTCTTCTGATGACCATCTGTTACTACAATGACTGGTATCCGGCTCACTACTGATATTTATTGTTTGAATCTGCATATGATAACATGCTGAACTTTTTATTAATTAAAGTATATTCTAAGTTTATGGGGTAGCTATTTTACAAGTTATATAGGTTTTTTGTCCTTTTCACACGGTCAACAAAACGCATGTTGTCCGAGAACAGTCAATAAATGTTTTGTTATACTTTTCATTTTAACATTTTTTTGACATACATGAATCTTGTACTATCTTCCATGGTGCAACTTCAGGTCCGTTAGTGTTGAACACAAACGAATGCAAATGAGATTAAGCTCCGCCATTCTGTGACGTAAGCAGTCCAATATTCATTGACCGGTCCAATATCTCATTCATTGTCAAATATCAACTTTTTCATGCCCGCTCAGTAAAACATTAGAAATGTTAGACTTTTTTCGTATGGATTTGTATTGCAACAAATTTTTAACGGTATAACAATATTTTTTTGTTCCACAAAGTGCCCCAATTACCTTGAAAGTCTATGAATATCTGTATATGCTAAGTATACGAGTTCGAAGGTATATGTAGGGTATACACACAATGTCTCTCTAAAATGACATGTATTACAGCATTTCCTTTTCTACTACATCTATCTGTGGAGGAAAGCACAAAAACCAAAGCTCATTTTTAAGTGTAATAAATATTTATTTGTGTAAAAAATAGAAATTTACAATAACAGGTATGAAAGTTTATTTAGCTGCTTAAACATCGGGGTATCCTTGGATCACAATATAGGATGGACATATTGGTCTTCTGCAGCACTTGCCAGGAGGTGCAGCTTCCCAATGGCATACATCAGGTAGATTAAGTTGTGGACACCTGTTTAAAAAAAATTAAAAACTGTTTAAAAATCTTATCATGAGAGCATTTACAGTAAAACAGGCTTATTTTGAAGTTATTTAGTTCCCGTTGACTTTTGAATATAAACTGTAAAATCACTTATTTTCGTGGTGGTCTAATTTTCAGGGTTTTCATTGTATGAAGAAACCCATGAACTTGTGTCCACCATGAACTGTTCATTTTTCACAGGTATTACTACTTAACCATCCTTCACGTACGAAATTAAATCCCCTGTATTTCTTCTTCAAACCATGAAAATCTGACCCCCCGAAAATATGTGATTTTACAGTAAAAAACTGAACGGATAAAAAGAATAAGGTTTAGTTTAATAATGAAGCAAGTTTTTCTCTCCCTGTTTTTCTCTCACTGTCTCCCTGTTTTATATGTTTTATTTATAATATTTAATAGTACAGTAAGACACGCTCTAAGTGTGGTGTCAGAGATGAAATTTTTTTATCCATTACAACTTAATTTTTTTTTTTAAGTTTACATTACCTTTAAAAACACAAAAATCATCTCATGGTAAGCATGGATTCATTGCAAATGTGTGTCACTTTGATCTAATTTGACTCCCTTTTGTACAATGTCAGTCATGAAACAGAACATTATTGTAAAGACTTGTGGAAAATGCTTCTGCCATATAGTGAAAAGAAAAACTTACAATTCATTGCACTGGTAGAATCCACGCACAGCATCAGTACATTTACAGGTCATTTTACAGCCATCACTCCAAGTCTGGTCCTGTCCATAGGACACTCCATTATAGTAGCAGGTATCTAGTTAAGGATTAAGAATATTCAGATGATTTAGCTTTTCAGAACACAGGAATAATAAATCAGTACTTTTTAATATTAAAAACATTTTTGATTTTGCAAAGTTTTACATGTATTTTCAAGTCCCGTCAAGTTTGATATATTAACAAGGTTTGAATGTATTGCATATTCAGAAATAAATAATAAGGCATAAACATCTGCATCAGATATCAAGATATCATGGTTAAATAGTTAAAAATTAAGGGATTGGGAATTCCAAATAAATTTAACATATCCATGGTATTTGCAAGATTAGTCTTCAAGATACAGAGGTTGACTGTAGTTAATACATAAACAAAAGAAATCATCTATAACTCACTTGTTGAGCTCACTACAACATTAGGACAACACTGGCCAGGAACTTGTACTATTTTCCAACCACTTGGTAAGTTTTCAATGGAAGGACATCTGAAATCAGAGATTTATCATTTTGTTACCAAATCAAAAAATATTACCCAAGCTAAAAACTTGTACCTGAAGTATATAAATAAAAGTATGTGCATCAAAGATATATAAAAAGTAGCAGAGAAAAAAAGATGACAGAAGAATCAATATTTTCAAACTTTATTGTCCATCACAAAATGTCAACATATTTGTAAAGAACACAATGATAATGATTTATAGAATTAGTCTTGAGGGTATCCAGATATAACGACAGGAGGGGGACACTTGGGCTGACGGCAGCATTTGCCCGGGGCAGGATCCTCCCAATAACAGTCGTATCCTGGTGGAAATACCAGAGCTGGGCACCTACAGAATATTCAACACACAAGTTTGAAATCCGTATCTACAGAAAATTCAACACAAAATAAAAAACTCTGTATCTGCATAAATTCAACACCATTTTTTATCTATTTTTGGCACTCTTCTGACACTGGATGACCTTTAGTTGAATTATTTCCCTGTGACTTACTTTTCTTTACATTGATAAAATCCATTTTTTGCATCTGTACACACACAGGAGAGTTTACATCCATCGCTCCAGGTCTCATCTTGGCGGTAGGTCAAACCTTTGTACTGACAGACATCTGTCAAACAGACGGATTCAAAGTCCTTATAATAAATGAATAACTTCAACATTTAAACTTTAAATATGACACAAAAGTTCTTAGGTTTTGATACATTGTAAACATCTTTGAGGTTGAAATTGCATACTCATTTGAATGACTGTTGACATACAGTTCACATAATTTCATATGAAACACTAAAAAAATTTTTTTTTATATTTTGTACCTTGGGTTTGAATAACAATGTCCACGATAGGACAGCACTGTCCAGGCTTATCCACTAATCGCCATCCCACAGGCAAATTATCAAATCTTGGACATCTGTAACAAAAGTTCATATTCTCAAGACTTAGTGTCAGGTATCATTATTTTCACAAAATTGTCATATAGATTTATTACATACTAGATATACATAACATGAATAATGCCAGTAAAACAGATGACTTATCTTTGAAGCATAATCTTCCGCAACAACCATTCACCGACGAAGCAGTCAAGCCGAAAAAGCATCATCAATCAACAACCAAGAAATGAACCGATTTTTGTGGAACTCTTTTCATGTTTTCAAAATGCCGAGTTCGGTGGAATAGAATTTTTTATAGGCCATTAGTTATATTGTTCAATGCTGTAGCATTAAAGCAGGCATAAAGCAAACTGGTCATGATTTTATCATCAGAGTCTCTTGTGATTATATATATTCAACTTTATACCACTTATTCAAATGCTTGTGTTATCCTTTTGTTAATCATATTTTGTCTCATTTAATCAATGAAAATGACATCCTATTCAACCATGTATGATATGCATTTTACATGTACAAAATTTAATTTACTTTCATGGTCAAACCAGTTATTTAAGAATAACAATGATACTGCTGAACAAATCATTTGCTGGCAAATAAATGAAATCAAATTTGAATAACTAACTAACATAGCTAGCCAAGAATCCATACAATTTTATAATTCAATAATTATTTTCCATATTCAAGCAAGTGCATTTTACACTGTAACAAGCTTTTTTTATGGGGTTGGGGGATAAAATGAGGGATGATGTTTTAAAAATCTTACATTTGTGTTCAAATATTTTTCTTCCAGGTATAACAACAAAAGCAATAAATAAGCCCAGACAGCCTTAGAACTCCAAAATCAAATAAAACTTACAGTCTCAAGCACTTGGCAACACCATCATTACAAGTACAGTTCTTGGCATCAGCACTGCAGCCATCTTGCCACCAGGTACCATGTGCGTGAGTTACACCATCCGAATAACGACAAGACTTGGCTACAAAAAAACCCAGAGATTATTAAAACTATATTTCTATTATGCTGTAGGCTAAAAATTGCCCAATAGATGTAAGTTTGTAGTACCTGAAAGCAATTTTTGACTCATAAAATAAGACTAATGTGTAACTTGTATAGCTTTTTAATACTTGTCAGAAACAATGTACATGTACCCTCATTTAGTCACATTGAATGGTAGCAACATGTATTTTAAATGTGTTTAAATATTTAATAACATAAAACTGCAGCAAATAGAAAATATCACTTGCAGGTGGTATAATTTTGACAGTATTTTACAGCTACAGTGGGTGATGATACTTACGTGCAGCTGTGGTCATTCCTGAATCGCCTGAGCACATCTTACAAGTCTTCCTGCAGTTCCTCTGGGCCCACTGTGAGTAGGCTATTGATGTACAGATACTGACATCCATCTGAGCACATACTTCTGGGGACTCGTCGTGACAAGCAGCCACCGTGGTAGCTGAGTCACCTGCATATTGTGTATAAAAAAAATTGATTATAAACTGAATTTGAATCCAAAATTTCCCTATTAGACACTTGATTAAAAAAATTCTCCTTTATCAAACTGCCATCAAAATTCTCTTAGCTAAGCTATTTCATGACAGAAATATAAACTAATTCACAGAATATTTATAATTCTCAGGGTTCTTACGTGTGAAGGGTGCATTTATTTCTGATTATTGTCAACTTACAGTAGTTACAGAAGAGTTGACAGTTTTCTCTTGCCCATGGCTCGAACAATCCACCACAGGATTCCTTGCCGAAATCGGCACAGTTGTCCAACTTGTCGCGGCAGCCAACAGGTGGTGGTGTGGTGGTGGGTGGAGTGTGGGCACAATCATAATCTGTACGATAATAAAATTTCAAAATCCCTCAAAATTACACCACCATTGTCTCAAAAACGACAACACACTGTTACATAGTCACACAGAATATGTCTATAAAATATCACAAAATATATGGATGATTTCAAGTTTCAGACAATTGAGACAAAAATAAAGTGCAGATAAGAACATACCACACAAGTTGCAATAGTTGGGGCAGTTTCTCTTGGCCCATGGAACATATGGAGCCACACAGGCCTGTTGTCCATAAGAGTCGCAGGTGGAGAGAGTGTCCTTGCACCACTCGCACGATGGTTTGGTGGGTTTGGGGGTGGTGGTGGAACCAATGGGAACCACATGAGGACAGTTCAGTTTCTTGCAGCAGTCTCCTGGGACTGTATCCAAAGTGCAGAAAGATGGAAGTTCAGTGTATACTGGGCATCTAGTTAAAAAAGATGACATGTTTTTGAAAGAAACCAGTTGTAAGATATTACTGAATTTTTTCTATTCATGATCAGACTTTCATATTTCTCACTTAAACATTTAATATATCCAAAAAATTCTATAGATACAAACTAACATTAAAAGGTCCCCCCCCCCTTTTTTTTTAAATCTCTGCTAAAATAACTGACTAATTTAAATCTTTTGCATGTAAAGCCCCAAAATTTTGAGAAACTCGCTTTGAATTCAAATATCTGTCATCATAAAATTGAAAAGCTACCGAGGTGTGCAAGAGAATTGTCCACTGGTGGCATCGTCACATCTACAGTCAAAGTCACATCCATCACTCCAAGACGTGCCCTGTTGATACTGTTTTCCCTTGTAAATACAGACTGTGTGAAAAAAAGAGAGAACAGGCATTGCAGTGGATATAAAAAAAAGTGGTACCATTGATGCTAAATAAGATGCAAGACTTAAATGTGTCCAGCAGCTCTATATGGTTCAACTTTTAACACTTTACTTCTAAATTGTGAAACATATTAAAAGGGTTTCCCTCCATTTCTTTATCAAATATTACTGGTTTTCACTTTTTAATAGAGATCTTTTTTTTTTGTATAATTATTCAAAATCGGTATTCTCATAATAATTTCATTATCATGTATCTTTATATAAGGATTGAATATACAGCAATACATGTAAATAGCTTTTATAAAAATTTTGTCTTTCTTATAAATACCAAATGCCTATGTCATGAAAATAAAGTGTTAATTGCCATATTTTGTGATCTCCAGTAATACTTTGTTTTAAAAAAGAATGCTCTGTAGTGAATACCATTTCTGCTTCCGCTGATGTTGGAATATCCTCCAGATCCCATCTGAGCATAGTTTGTATCGGGTCTGAAATTGACGTAGCCTCCGCTCAGGGACGGTACGATGGGGAAGGAGGTCTGGACTTTGGTGGGGTCTACAACCTGTCCGTTAGCCAGGGTACATCTGGGTTCTGAGCAGCACTTGCCATCCACACGTACCATGTAACAACGGCTTGACTCCAAGTTATTGTAGGTTGGGCAGCTACACAAAAAGTATTTGATGCATTAAAAAATGGCAAAATATACATTTTATGTGTTCATAAATATATATCTACTTTCATGACTTTTTCTTTCTTCCTTGAGAAATCAGCATTTTTGGACTTATTTAGATTCAACCCAAAAACATTTGTACCAACGAAAAATTTCCAAGTTTAATGTTAATTTTAGATAAGTGCTCTACAAAAAATCTTACGATGAGATGCATTCGTAGTAACCAGAGGCTCCGTCCTTACAAGTACATGTGTAATCACAACCATCATTCCACTGTTCTCCCTCATTATAGATGAGATACTGACGACCACTCTTGGATGGGAAAATACACTGATCTATCAAAGAGAGTCAATATATTAGTATAGAACATGCCTCATGAATGTTTGAGCAAATATCCAGCATAATTAAGTAATATTAATGATTTTGTGATGCATTGAAAGATAACAGTCAACTCAAATGTGGGGAATGAATTGTAATAGATATCTATGTTTAGCAATCTCAACATCACCACTAAAATTGCCAAAATTGAAACCTAACTAAATAAAATTTCTGCTTATACAGTATTAGATTAAATCTAACCAATGCACTCTTTGATAGAACTATAGTCCTTTAAGTTGAAGTAGTGACCTTGCTTACCTCTAATTCTAGAGATCTGACTCTGGGAGATGAGGAATTTCCTTCTTAGTACTTGTGTACGCTGGGAGATGGGGAAACCCCTCAGTAGTACTAGTGTATTCTGACTCTGGGAGATTAAGAAACCCCTTGGTAGTACTAGTATACATGTATTTCCTTACCTCTGATGCTGGTGATCTGACTCTGGGAGATGGGGAAGCCCCTCAGTAGTATTAGTGTATTTTCTTTACCTCTGATGCTCGTGATCTCACTCTGGGAGATGGGGAATCCCCTCAGTAGTACTAGTGTATTTCCTTACCTCTGATGCTGGTGATCTGACTCTGGGAGATGGGGAATTCCCCTCAGTAGTATTAGTGTATTTCCTTACCTCTGATGCTGGTGATCTGACTCTGGGAGATGGGGAAACCCCTCAGTAGTACTAGTGTATTTCCTTACCTCTGATGCTGGTGATCTGACTCTGGGAGATGGGGAAACCCTGTCCTGGGAAGGCTGTTACTGTGTTCTGTGGGGGGTTGGTTGGCATGGTGTAGAAGGTCTGACCAGACAGTCCTCCTGGGGCAGGAGTGATTTGAATTCCTCCAGGCATTGTTGGAGCTGGAGTGATCTGTTTTTAAAATAAACATTTCATTAAAATGAATTCAAAAATCTTGCTAATTGTCTATGCTGTTTTCTAATTTTTTTTTCCATAATGTGTTTTACTCTTGTTCCACAATTTCAGAACTACTTAAGATTTTCTGAAGAAAAAAATCTGAAATTAGGACAGTTTGCAACAGACAAATGTATTATACCTGCACTTCATTTGGTGGTATGTAGGAGCCATTTGTTCCTGGAATGTCACAGCTGAGTTTAGGACAGCACTGTCCAGGAATGGCTACCTTTCTACAGTATGTGGGGAGGTTGGGTGGATAAATTGGACATCTGCAAAGATGGATTTTATACATTTATGTTCAGAAAGATAGAAACATAAAACTGGGACATGAATGAAATGTAAGTAAATGAGGCTTACTTGGATACACATTTGTATTCTCCCTTCTGAGCGTTGACACATGTACATACGTAGTTACAACCGTCCTGCCAGGATTCACCCTGTTTGTGTTCTGTTCCCTTGTAGATACAGGCCTGGTAGCCTATTTAGGAACAAACAATTTCTCTGGTCAGTATCATATATACATTTAAATCAAACAGTTGTAGGGAAATGGACACATCATTTATTTTGAAAAAAAAAGATAACTGTTTAAACACATAGGCTCAAAACTAGAAGATAGGAGCTTTCAAAATCTTGTGCTCATAGAAGGACTTGTATATCATTCTTTTTAAAGGGTGGGGGTTTGGGGGAATCTAGTGAATTTTCAATACACATTCTATCCTCCAAATACTAATCTTCTTTACAACATCTTCCTCCTAGTTCAATTTTTGTATTCAACTGGTCAAAAATAAAAGCAATAATGTACCTCCCACTGATGTGAATGGATTGAGGTCGCCTGGTTTGATTTCGTTGGATCCGTAGATGGTGTTATGGGATCCGATGGGAACAACATTGAAGGCATTGGGAGCAGGAGTAGAGGATCCAGCCATGTTATTGTACACTGGCTGGTAGTTGATTGGTCCGCTCTGGCATTTGGGAACTTTGCAGCAAGTGTCTGCGGGATCGCTTACCAGGGTGCAGTAGGATGGAAGACCAGAATATACTCGGCACCTGGCATCACATCTGTAGTTGTTGATCTTGGCATCCACACAGATACATCTGTAATTGCAGCCGTCATCCCAAGTGGCGCCTTGTACGTGCACTGTGTTGTCAGTGTAACGACACATGTCTGAAAAAAGAAAATGATTTTAGACCCAATGTTAAGATTGCATTTGGTAAATATATCATTTTTGTTGTGATTCATGGCATATTCTAGTCTAGTTGATAAAAAGGCAGATCATGGTTAATTTCCGGTAATCGATGAGACCACTTTTTACCTGGAGGTCTGGTGGTTCCCTGTGGTACTGTGGGATAAGTGATAACCACTGGTTTAGGAGTGGTAACTGGTTGTGGTTTCTGTGTTGTCTTGCTCTCATCACATCTGGCTCTCTGACAGCAGGCATTGTTGGGATCCTGTTCATAGGTGCAGTACCAAGGCAGGTTGTAGTATTGTGGGCATCTGGAATCATTTAAAAGATCACTTCAGCATCAAATGAAAAAGCTTTAGGGGCATAATACAACTTTGGAAAGATTAAATGCTTCTAACATATTTTCACATTTTCCATGGTAGCTGATAGAATAGGGGATAAGTAGTGCTATTAGGAGAAAATATAGCTTAGAAAGGATTTAAATTCATGTACAATTATTTCCAAGATGTTTCATAAAAAGTGGTTATTATATCTGCAAATATCCTAGATAGGTTCCAATTAATTCTAATAAATGTACAAATGCTTACGTGTAAGTACACTTGTACTGTCCTCTGAGAGCATCCAAGCAAGTGCATGTGAGTTTACAACCATCTTGCCATTTCTCGTTCTGCTTGTATACTCGGCCCTTGTACACACAAACACCTGTAAATAAAAAAGTATTGTTGCCATACAATTTTATTCATTTTCATCACTGCAAAGAATTTCTATAAAATATTTATTTCCTTCACAAATAATCTCAAATTTTAAGACAAAAACATGCTCCAATAAATGTTTTTGAATTTCATAATTTATATTCTCATAATAGTTACAGTCAAGAAACTTTCCTGTGAAATATCATTCAATTAGGCATTGTAAAACAAGGAGAGATATAAAGAAAACTTACCACTTGTGCCATTAATCATAGTACTGAGAGGATTGTTAGGTCCTACGTTGCTCTGGCCGCCAAAACCTGGGTTCACAACAGGGGTGGCGTAGTATATAGGCATAGGTGTGGTGGCTCCTGTGTAACCTGGGGGGTAAGAAGGCTGAGGGTTGCACTCTGGAACCACACAGCAAGGATCGTTCTTATCTGCAACCAACTGGCAGTTGTCTGGGATCTGGTTGAACTGTGGACATCTGTCAAAAATTACAGAAATTTTTAATTTCTCTCAAATATGTTACATATAATATTAAACATTTTCAATCTTTCATATTTACTGCTACTGACTTGAACTCTAAAGATTAAAATATAATATTGGTATATGTAGGCCGTAAACTTTGAAATTAGTCTGTATTTGCAGAAAGCTGTCATAAAGAGCCTTGATAATTTTTTTTTTACAGAGTTATGTCCCTTTCACCACAAGCACTTTTATCTGGAAAATTCAATATTGACTAATATTCTAATTCTATCTATCCCTGATAAACTGAAATGATTCATTTTCATAACATTCCTGATGCTTTAGTGAAGTTATAAAATAAAGCATTATTATAAGCAGACTGACCTGGCTCTGCAGCTGTAGAGGTTGTTGTTGACGTCGTCACACGTGCAGAGTTTGTCACAGCCATCCTGCCATGTTTGTCCTTGTCTGTAGTACACACCCTTATATACACAGTATCCTAAAAATACATGTAAAAGGTTATACTCATTATTTAAGAGGAAACAATGAATGCTCAATTTCCCCAGAACCAGATAAGGTACCATTCAAGAGAACCATAAGAATAGCACAGTTAGGCTACGATGATATGAACAAACTTCCATTGACATTAAAAAGAATTTACAAGTTTTTGACACTCTACAATATTTTATACGAATTTATATCATCTTGCCCATCATGCACACTGGCACAGGATGAATCTGCACCATTTTTAGTCAACTGATTGATCACTGAAAGGACTGGAAAGGTGACTGAGTGGTAAGAGATCTGCTATTCAGTCACATTTCAGTGAACATTCAGTAACCTTTTAGTTAACTGGATGGCAGAGTTTTATCTTACGAGAATCATTTTCTCACCGTTAGTCTGAGTTGGTGGCTTGGTACCACTGTAAGGTCCTGGCTGATTGGGGTTGACATACACTGGTGTGGTGGGGGGCATGGTCTGGTACTGTGTGGGGATGTTAGCCAGAGGGGTGGGGTTCTTGGGGTTACCACAGTATGGGACTCCACAGCATTGGTCATTTTGATCTTGTACCAGTACACAGTAGTTAGGCAGATTGGGGAATTTCTGACATCTAAAAGATTTCAAATGACAATATATTAACAAGTCATAGAGCTTTGTTCAGAGAAAATAAAAACTCATGAATTTGGATGAAAAAGAAAGTTTAAATGATTATGAGATAATTAAATTATTTCTTGAGAATTGTTTTAATTCCTTTACCTCTCTGTGCATCTGTAACGGCCAGTCATATCATCCATACATTCACAGATGTAGTCACAGCCATCTTGCCATCTATCTCCCTTCTTGTAAATATTGTTCTTGTAGAAGCATCCTGAAATACAAATACCACCTTATTCCTGATTTTAATCCTTGGTGAGGCAATTTGTACCAAAGTTTCATTTTCAAGATAAGTTCCAGCTGATTATCAAAAGTCTTTTTACCTTTCCTTGGAGTTGGAGTAGCATTGGATCCACCGGTAGCTGGTTGTGGTTTACCATTGACCATAATAGTTGGTACAGGTTCTGGTGGTGGTGTGCCGTTTCCGGTGATGGTTCCGTAGGCGGGTTGGAGTGGTTTGATCACGCCGGGGGTGGGGGTGGCGCCTGGCTGGACCACGGGACAGCTGGGAGCTTTACAACACGTGGGGTCACTGGGATCCGGAACAAGAGTGCAGCCTTGTGGTACTCGTGGGTATACATTACATCTGTTCAAGGAAAATTAACAGAATTTGTATTTTTTAAAAAAAATTTAATCCTTTTTGAGTAAGTAGCATTAAAGAATAGGTTGTACTAGAAATATTTATAGAAATAATACAGGCCATGTTAAAAATTATGGTGATGAAACAAACTGCACATTATCCAAAATTATTTTGAATATAAAATTGTCAAAAAAAATATTTTTTTATCTACAAGAAAAAATTTGCAGATGAAGTTGTAAGTACATTTCATGATACATTATATTTTTTGTTAACATACTGTTTCATGAACTTTTATATGCATAACAATTTGTTCAAATAAACAGACTTTTACCACATTATGCCATTAATTAATAAGAAATATTTGAAATATTTTACATGACGTTGTGTACCCCTCAGACTGTTATGGCACTAAATGGTTTACCTCTGTTGACAGCTGTAGTAACCAGACTTGCCATCCACACAGATACACTTCTTCTCACAGCCATCGAACCATTCCTGTCCCTGTCTGTAGGACTGTCCGTTGTACACACACACCTCTGTTTATCATAAAAGATAATACCTTTTCAAAATTTAAAATTCAGTCAAGACACTATCTGCTACTTGGAAGAAAAGTTAATAAAAATCAATATGCAGAGAATAATATCAAAATGTATCAATAATTTAGCTGACAGCTAATTTCTTGAAGATTCAGCGATTTCAGCGTCCCCTCCTACTAGCAATTACAAAATCCCATCCCCCAAAGAAAATCCCCTTACCCAGAGGTGGGGGAGCTGTGTAAGGGTTTGGCATGCCTGGGCCGGGGGTGGTCTGTCCTGGGACTGTGGGGGCAGCAGTTGGCTGGATGGGGCAGTACACTGATTGACAGCAGGCATCATTTGGATCCTGGGTCATTGTGCAGTAGGATGGAACTTGTGGGTGTCTGGCACACCTGTAAAGGAACAAATGGGAACATTATGAGTTTAATCTTTGTTGGTCAGTCAATGAGCCAACTTCATGATTAATACTTAATTTCTAAAATGCTTTAAATAATGTCAATTAAAATCAAGAGAAAAAGATAAACCCATACCTTTCGGTACACTTGTATCTTCCATTTTGTTGATCGATACACTCACACTGGAACTGGCATCCATCATCCCATTTCTGTCCTTGTGAGTAAGCCTTGCCCTGATACACACACATCACTGTAACACAGAAGTCAGATTTCATCAAAAAGTCTGTTCAAGGGCCCACAGGCCACAATGTTCATTTTAAGTTACCAATTCCTTTGGATCTATTAATTTCTTGGACAAACAATCAACCTGCAGTTTATTTAAAACAGGGGGGGGGGGGGGAAACATGTGATAAAGCTGACCTTCAACGCAAGGAAATAAATTTTAAAGAAGGAGTACATATAAAATGTATAATTTGCTGGTTGTTCTGTTGCTACTTGGTGCAGAGGAACTTACTTTTGCCGTAAATCTGAGGAATGCTTGGTTGTCCAGTGGCGGGCTGTTGGGGGGTTCCAGTGAAGGTTCCCTTGTTTCCAGTGACCACAGTGAAGGGGTTAGTGGAGTTGACATCAATGCAGATAGGGGCCTGGCAACACTGGTCATTAGGATCAGTGACCAATCGGCAGCCTGGTTTGGGTGGTGGGTAGCTTGGGCATCTATAAAAATCATGGAAATTTTTAAAAATTGCTTAAGAAGTATTGAAAGTATAGTAACCTCTTTATGTCTCAATATATTTGAAGAAAAAGGTTAACAAGCAAAATGAAAAACCAAATCAAGTATCATGAATTTTCATCATGAAAAAAACAGTTAAACTTTTTCTACATGTGAAACAAACCTCTCATCACAGTTGATCTGACTGTTCATAGCATCGTCACATCTGCAGATCTTCTCACAGCCAACCTTCCAGCTTTCTCCTTGTTTATATGGCACTCCATTGTATACACAGAAGGCTACAAGAAAAATATTAATGAATTTTCTTTACCTCTTTCCTGATAGTTTGGTTTCAAAAGCTATGGATGTCCCAAAGCTATTTCCAAAGATAATACAGTGAATAAAACAGGGGTTCTTTCGTCTTGACTCACCTGGTTGTGGTGGAGGGTGAGCGGTGGGGGCCAGAGTTGAGCCTGGTCCAGGGGTGGGGGGAATTATGGCAGGGCAGTCAGGGAGAGGACAGCAGGGGTCGTCTGGGTTGTACTTCAGTTTACAGGTCAATGGAATCTGGTTCTGGTTGGGACATCTAATTGCAAAAAGAATATTTTTTTTGGCAAATGACAACCAATAAATCAAAATCTTGATGGGCAAGATTGATAATTGGGAATTGTAAACATTACAAGCAATTCAAGGCAATAAACATAATTGCTGAGACATAGTAAGCACACAAATATCTGACCTCTCTGTGCACAGGTAGCGACCAGTTGTAGAGTCTACACACTCGCAAATGTAGTCACATCCATCTTGCCATTTCTGGCCCTGTTGGTACATCTGTCCCTTGTACACACACATATCTGTAATAAATGTGTTGTTTAAATCTTTTCTTTTAGAGAAAAAAAAACAGCAGGCTGCCTACCCTTACATTTACCTGGCAAACATTTATGTGCACTTCAATTAATCTGGAATTAAGAAATTTAAAACTTGGATTTTAAATAAATATATTCTTATAAACTTGAAAAAAAATATTTTTAAAAGGTTAATTAATTCAAGTGACCTTCAAAATTTGCAATTTTTCATATTTAATTATATTATTATTCTTTTGAAAATAAACTTAGAAATAATTGACATACGAGGAATGGGTGTTGTTGGTGCAGGGGTTCCAAAGATAATAGCTCCATTGGGATTGACAACAATCCTGATGGGTGTGGTCTGAGCAGGGGTGGGGGACTGGGTTCCTACGATGACTGGGGGTACTGTGTTACCCTGAGGGCACTGAGGCACCTTACAACACTGAGGATCCTGGGGGTCAGGCACCATAGTGCACTGAGAGCCAGCTTCATATTGAGGGCATCTTATCAAAGAGAAAAATGATGATCAAATACTGTCCAAGAAAAAATGGAGTTTTAAAATTCTTTATGGAAGGTGTTGTCAAAAATTTTGAATGTAATAACTGCTAGGTGCCATGTAATATAATTTATGGTATAATACACATCTAATCTGAATAAAATTATTGAAACTGATGGCATTTTCTCCTTTAAAAATCAAAAATAGTTTTCAAGTAGCAATTATCTGTTTTTTAATTTTTTTCAAATGCTGACATATCACAACTATGCCTAAAGAAGGAAAAATATTTTAAAATGCAATACCTTGGGGTGCATCTGTAGTGTCCAGATCTGGCATCATCACAGACACATTTCTGGTCACAGCCCACATACCAGGCCTGTCCTTGTGTGTATGTCTTACCGTTGTAGACACAAACCTCTGTAAACAATCAAATAACCATGTAGACATCACTTCTTTTTACATGTTGCATTAGTCTCAGTTTATTTACGATATTAAACAATAAAATTGGAAGTAAATCATCAAAGTATTCAGAAAGGTTTAAGAATTCAAAGTCATCCATTCAACATTGCTCCACCTATTCAATACTAGTCCTCATTAAGCCCTATAGAAATGGTCATGGGGGGAAATATTGACTAATTTTTAAAGAAACAATGTTAATATCTTACCTCCTGGTTGGGGTATTGGGATGAGTGGAGCAGTGGTGATTTGCTGTGGTGGTACCAAGGTGGAGCCTGGGTTTGGTACAAGAGTAACACCCACTGGGGTGGTGTTCTCTGGGGGTACTGGGGTGGTGCCAGGTGTTGGTGGTGGACAGTACTGCACGCGGCAGCAGTTGTCTGTCTGGCTGGGTACCATGAAGCAGTTAGGCTGTACTGGGAAAGTGGGGCACCTGTACAATAAACAGTTATTTAGACCAAGTCCCAAAACAACCATATACATTTAGATGAAGTCCCGAAACAATGATATACATAGTCTTAGAAAGGGAAATTAAGTATATCCGATTAAAATTATGACAACAACAAAAATTTGCAATAATTTAAACTTTTTTCCTAGGTTTTCATTTCATTTCAAAATATAAAGAGCTAACAAATTAAAACTGATTAACATTCATTAATTCACCTCTCAGTACACTTGTAGCGGCCAGTGGCTTGGTCGATACACTCACAATTGTAGTCACATCCATCTTGCCAGGTCTGTCCATTTGTGTATTGTTGACCCTTGTACACACAGAATGCTGAAATAATTTTTAGACATGTAAGCTTTTTCAAACTCAGTATTTATAGCTTTAAAGCTTCTAAATTTACACCTTCATTAAAAAGATACTGAAAGCATACAACATTTGGCTGTGTATTCTTTCTAACACTTTTGGCAGGGATAAACTTCCGCTACTTCCAGTACAATGCTAAATTCTTGCACATATATACATAAATAGGAACACTTACAGTTGCACTATTTCAAATTTACGCTAACTTGTTCAAAAATCAATTTTCGCCAAATATTGTACATGCGAAATATAAAACATATTTACGGTGAATCAAGATGGAAACCCTCATTAGATGTACCACTTACTTGGTTTGGGTGACGGGTTGTAGGGGTTCTGTGTGGTAGGATTATATCCCACAATCTCTCCTTTAGGCAGTGGTGTAACATAAGGATTGTATGGGGTGGTAGGCTGGTTTGGTGGTGGTGTGGTTGTGGGGTACAGTGGGTTGTAGGGGGTCGGTCTGGGGGTGCTACACACTGGAACCAAACAGCAGGGGTCATTGGGGTCAGTTGTCTTGGTGCAACCAGCGGGTAAGTTAGGATACTGTGGACATCTACAGGAGAAGTTAGAAAAATTAACTTCAGGAATGAAAGGAACGCAATCTATCAAAGAATTGCTCAAATGAAAGTCAAATTCTCATATCTATAAAACAATACTCTTAAATTGAAACATTAGCCACTCTCTGATAACATTTTTTGACAATTACAGTTAAACCTCATTATCTTAAACTCAATGGGACTGAGAAAAAAAAATAATTAAGATATCAGAGGATTCAAGATATTGAGGGTAAAATCCGAAAGAATATTTGGTTGAAACTTCCAGATCATTTCAACATATCTCTGGTAATTGAGATAACAGTGTACGAGATACCAAAGTTCAATCTATTGATTTTAATCCAGAAAGTTTTCCTCTACCTGTCAAAGCAGTTGTACAGGTTGTTGTCAGCATCATCACATCGACAGGTTGTGGAGCAGCCATCCTGCCAAGACTGTCCTTGTGTGTAAGGAACTCCCTTATACACACAGAAAGCTACAAAAGAATCAAGGAAATTATACATCAAAATTATTGGGGGGGATGGTTATGATAAAGTAAAATAATTTCTTGTAAAATTTCAGAAAACAAAGAAGTGTAAATACTTGGTGGTTTGGTGGGAGGTGGTGTGGGTTGTCCTGGGGCTGGGGTGGTGGTCTGGCGACAGACTGCCACCTTACAGCAGTAGTCATTGGGGTCTGTCTGTAGGGTACAGCCAGGAGACAGACGGGGGAGGGAAGGACACCTGCCAATAATTAAATACATACTCTATAATGGTGAACTTGGATGAAGGCTCAATCTTGACAATCTCGTTCATAAATTTGCTTTTCCATGAATACCAAGGACATGGTATATTTAAAAAGAAAACAAAATTAAAGTAAACCATGCTTACAGTGAACAAATATCCTAATATAGAAATCACACTTCTAGCAAAATCAATCTTTATTCTCTGTTGTTTAAGATTTACTATGAACTAATATTGGATACAATGAACTACATTAATCAAGTATTAAAATTGTTCTTGTTACTTTGCTTAAAAGGTGTTTTACTGTATTTCTTTTATAGATTTAACATTTCATCCGATGCATGCTCTTTATAAGGAGCATGTAAGCTCCCTTCAACCAAGAAATAATAGCCCACCTCTCTGTACATTTGTATCGTCCTGTCATTCCATCCTCACATATACAGGTGTACTTGCATCCATCTTGCCATTTTTCTCCTGTCTTGTAGGTCAAACCATTGTAGATGCAAACTGTAAACCATTCAAAAAACATATTCAATTCACCTATGTAATTTTATCCTACTTATCTTTGAACATGTATTAAGTATGAAAAAATGCATAAATACCTTGAACACAACTTTCATACTTATGCATAAATTTACAAGTAATAGGAATAATGTTAATGGTAGAACATAAATATTTTGATCATTATTGGATACTCATGATGAATTTTAGGAAAAAATAGCTCACCGTTTGGTGGAGGAGTGTTTGGCGAAGGAGAAGGTGTGGGCTGTAGAGTGGGTAAGAAGGGGTTACTGGTGGTTGGTGGAGTGGGGGGCAGGGTCTCCGTGATTCCGAATCCTGTGAAGGAGCCAGGCTGTCCCTTGATGGTGACTGGCTGGTTGGGTCCCGGGGTGGGTGTGGCACAGCGGGGTACCTGGCAACATGTGGGATCATTGGGATCTGGGATCAGTGTGCATGATGAGGGTAAGCTGTCATATGTGTTACATCTGGAGAAAAAAGGGGCATTTTAGTAAATTTTGGATATGAAATGCCATGATACACAGGGTAAGCTGTCATATGTGTTACATCTGGAGAAAAAAGAGCAGTTTAGTGAATTATGCATATGAAATGCCATAATAGACAGCAATCAAATCAGAATCAAATAAAACAAGCTTAAATTTTCCTCTATAAAATACAACTCTGGCAGTGCTTTACAATTCATTTTAATAAATTTATTTCTCTTCAGAGTTCATGAAATGTTTGCATGAAGTAGACTAAACCATTTTCTCTGTCAATCAATACAGTGCACACTAACCTCTGGCTGCATCTGTAGTAGCCTGTTCTTCCATCTTCACACACACAGACTCTGGCACATCCATCATACCATGTCTGGCCCTGACTGTAGGTCTTACCATTCATGATACAGATATCTATGAAAAATCACAGAAAAAAAATTATGATACCACTACATTTTGTAAGATGAAACTTTCTTTAATATTGCCAAAATATAACAAAACATACTTGCATTGAATACACCTGTAACAAATTTATTTGTATGTGCTTTTCATTCCAGTTTAAAAACATATCATGAACTTACAGTATAGGAGGTAATAACTTAAATTAGGTTTATACCAACTACAATTTTTTTCCTCCCTGTAAATTCCTGATAATCATGCAATAGCATATAATTATATAATTACAGTCAAACATTGTTATTTTGAACCAATTGCAAAGAAAAACTTTGGGTTATCATAGGATTCTCTGATACATGTATTAAGAGTAAAATATAAACAGATTAGTGTTTGCCATTTCTAACTCATTTTTATATATCCATGATATTCCAAATACAGAAGTTCCAAATATCTGAGTGAACTGTACTTACTTTTGGGTGTTGGCACGGGAGTGTTTGGTGGATTGGTCAGGTATGGGTTTGGTACCGGGGTGGTGCCTGGTTGTGGTGCCAGGGTACCTGGGTTGTTGGGGTTGATGCCAGTGACGGGGGGTCTGGTTCCCGTGCCGATGTTGAATGTGGGGACTGGAGCTGGTGTGGGCTGGTAGCACTGCAGCATCTTACAGCAGGGATCTTTGGGATCGGTGACGATCTGGCAGTTAGGTGGGGGTACTACTCCATCCATAGATGGACACCTTTAAGGAAATAGAAACATCTCATGGCTTCAGAAGTTGAATAAATTTCTAAATTACTGACATATTTCATGCTGAAGTACAATACATTTATATTTGCTTTTATGGATATCAAACAAATTCCTTCAAATGAAGATGCAAACTTAATTTTTTATCTACAGTGAACACAGGTGGTCATCTTTTTGTTATTAATTTATTAGACTGACCTGTCCTTGCATCGGTATCGTCCAGTCTGCATGTCCAAACATTCACATGTGTAGAAGCAGCCATCCTTCCATGTCTGTCCAGCATTGTAAGAAATTCCCTTGTACAGACATCCATCTAGTGAGGGAAAATTTTAGTTGATTGAAGAATATTTGTCAAAAAACATATATTTTCTCTCCACTTGGTAATTATATATACAAGTATGCAACACAATTTTTAAATTGCATTTATTTTCATTGACATTTAAAAATTAACTATATTTTAAACAATAAATTTCAATTAAAATTCCTTAAAGTTTACATCCATTTAAAGATTTCTGAATGCACAATATCCAGATAAGATAAGTTTCATTACAAATGAATAGTATACTTCTAAGAAGTATAAGTACTTACGTCCTCCATTTGGTCCTGATCCATAGGCTACAGCTGTAGGCATGGGTAGAGTATATGGAGTGGGGGATGGTGTGGGGGCGGGGATCTCTCCTGGCTTGGGTGAGGGAGTGGGGGCCACAGTTGGGGGTTTCATCAGTTCTGGGTGGCAGACAGGTTTCTTGCAGCAAGAATCAGCAGGATCAGACTCCATGGTACATCCATCAGTGAGTTGGTATACTGGACATCTGTGGACAGGAAACAGCTATATTATGATTCAAGTTGATTGGACTATTACAGATAATCCACATACAAAAAGAAAGTGAACCATTAAAGCTCCCAACTACAGTCAAACTTTGTTATATAAAACTCAATGGGACCCATTGAAAACTTGAGAGATACACAAAGAATAAGTTGTTGTGATTTCTAAATCAGCTTGACAAATCCATGGTTTTTGAGATATCAGAATTTGAGATATCAAAGTTACATATTTGCTACTTTTAGAGAAAATCTCCTTTTAAGACTAAAAAATTTTTTCATACCTATCATCACATCTGTAGAATCCTGTGGTTCCATTCTCACAGATACAAACCAAATCACAACCATCTTTCCAAGACTGTCCTTGTTGGAAGGGTACACCCTTGTACATACAGACAGCTAGAAAGAACACATTGCCAACTATAAGTTATTGAAGTACAAGCTACCTAATTTTTCAACTCATAAGATTAATGATGAAACCAAATTAATGTTGCCATGTTTTTCAAATTTTCTTTTTTCTCAATGAAATGTGTAAATATTGTACTTCATGATAAGGAAATTGTACAATTTTACTGTGAAACCCTAAAAGCTGTATCAAATGTGTAATGCATTAGTAGGTCATTTTTGCTAACCTGGTCTTCCGTTGATGGTGGTGGGTGTTGGTGCTTTGATGACAATGGGGGATACGTTGGGGGGACAGTATGGCTTCTTGCAGCAAGGCTCATTGATGTCCTGAACCAACTGACATCCTGGGTTCAGATCTGTGATTCTTGGGCATCTATCAACAAAGAATACATCTCATTTACTGACAAAATTCTCACTGCAAAATAAGCAGCAATTTTCAGATTAACAAATCATGTTTCAAAAAAATATAATTCATATGATATAACTTGCTTTCACTGCCTGTAGAAACTTTTTAAGTTAAAAATTTATGAAAATATTAAAGACCAGAATCTACTTGCTCTTTATAAATAAGTAGACATCTTACTTTTCAGTACACTTGTAGACACCAGTCATTTGGTCTTCACAAACACAGTCATAGTCGCAGCCATCCTGCCATCTTTGTCCCTGTGTGTAGGATTTACCCTTGTAGATACAAGTGTTGGCTGAAATAAATCATAACATTTTTTATTTTTTTAGCCTCATTTTCTAACAAGCTTCTGTATTCACATATAACAGAACACCTAAACATTGTCTTAGCAAAATGCTTGCACTATTCAAAGCAGGGTTGAAGTTGTGGAATTTCCATTTAAAAATTTTGATATATGCAAATGAAGAAATCATGACCAATGCAATTTGGCACTAAAAAAGTACATGTATATTCAAAAATATTTGTAAAATTTATTGCAAAAACAGACAGTTAAATTTTAGTTAAAAATATTTTCTTTTTATGTAACCTACTGAAAAGAATCAATAAATAGGAATTGTGGAACATTGTGACCTTGTATTAGAGACTTACGTTGGTAAATAGCTGGAGTTGTTGGCACTGGTTGGCGAGTTGTGAACTGTGGTGGCAGAGTATAATTTGGAGGATAGGTTCCCTGTGGGTATGGGGTGTATGGCACGGTCACACCTGGTGGGTAGGTTCCTGAGGGGAAGGGTGTCAGGTATGGGGGATAGGTCTGTCCTGGGATTAAGTAGGGCTGGTTTGGATTTCCACCTGTATATCTTGGTGGGTATGTTCCACTTGGGTATGGTCTTGGTGGAGGGACGGTTCCAGGGGGATAGGTTCCGCTTGGATATGGAGTCTGGTTTGGTGGATAGGTCTGGTATGGTTTGAACGTGATTGGAGCACCACCTGTGAAATAACCAGATGATGGTTTGATTGGTGGATAAGTACCGCCAGGGTATGGTGTGTAGGTTGGGTAGGTCAGATTGGGTGGATAAGTGGGTCCTCCTGGGTAGGGAGTGGCTCCAGGTGGATATCTGGTTCCACCATTGTATTGAGGATAGTTAGTGACTACATAGAATGGAGTATAACTGGGTGGGAATGTTCCCTGTGGATATGGTGTGATTGGTGGGACAGTCTGTCTGGGAGGGTATGTTCCACCAGGATATGGTGTAAGGTTGGTGGGGTAGGTCTGACCTGGAATGAATGGACTCTGGGTGGTGGGTTGTGGTTGCTTGAAAGTGAATCCCTGAGGATAGAATCCACCTGGGTATGGTGTTCCCATTGGGACAGTGCCAGTTGGAAATGTTCCATATGGGTATGGTGTTTGATTTGTTGGATAGGTACCGCCTGGTCTGAAAGTGGATGGTTTGTAATATGGTGGGGGAGTGTTATTTGGTGGGTAGGTTCCTCCAATGAAAGGTGTGTATGGGGGCACAGTCACACGTGGTGGGTATGTTCCACTTGGGTAGGGGGTTTGATTGGGAGGGTATGTCTGTCCTGGCACAAATGTTGGAGGTGTCTGTCCTGGTCTGAAAGTAAAAGTAGGTGGATATGTGCCTCCAATGAATGGAGTGTACTGGTAAGGTACTGTTCCTGTGGGATATGTTCCACCTGGATAAGGAGTCTCTTTAGTAGGATAGGTCATTCCAGGCTCCAGGATGGGGACCTGTGGTTTTGGAGTTGGTGATGGACGGGGTGTGTATCCTGGAGGATAGGTTCCACCAACATATGGAGTGGGAGGTGGGACAGTCCCTGTTGGGTAGGTTCCCTGTGGGTATGGTGTTCTGTCAGTGGGGTAGGTCTGGTATGGTGCAAAAGTTGGCTGAGTGAAGTATGGTCCAAAGGTAAAGCTTGGTGGGTATGTTCCACTTGGGTATGGAGTGTAGGTTCGTGGTGGCACAGTGCCAGTGGGATAGGTTCCACCAACGTAGGGTGTACGTCCGGGAGGATAGGTACCACCATGGATCAGTGGAGGGTTAGTAAAGTAAACCACCACAGGGCTGTAAGGAACTGGGGTTGTTACTGGACTAAAGCCTGGAGGATAGGTTCCACCTCCTGGATAGATGGTAGGTTGTGGGTACGTTTGCCTGGTTGGATAGGTGCCGCTTGGATATGGAGTCAAATTGGGTGGGTAAGTTTGTCCTGGTTTGAATGTTGGGATTTCAGATGGATTTGGTGAGTAGTTGACTGGATAAGTTGCTCCTGGGTATGGTGTGTAAGTCCTGGGTGGCTGTGTGGGAACAGTTCCTGGTGGATAAGTGCCGCCTGGGTATGGTGTACCTGATGGGTAAGGTCTTCCTGGGATCAGGATGGCAGGTGTGGGGCTCGGTGTGGTGTACACGGGACCACCTGTGAATCCTCCATAGAATGGTGTGGGTGGTGTGGGATTTGGAGTGTATATAGGTCTCTGAGTGGGACCTGGGGTGACTTTTCCTCCTTGAATGACCAGAGGTGGAGCTGTGTTAAAGTTGCCTGTGGTGGGACACTCTGGGATCTTACAGCAAAGTGGGTCTTTTGGATCAGCAACTAGTTTGCATTCTGCTGGTGGTGCCTGGAAGGTTGGGCACCTGTAAAAAAAGTAAGACACCATGAAATTACAACGAATACATGATTTATCAAGAAAGAAAAAGGTGCATAAAAATATCTACACTGTATGTCCATTACACATACTTCCATGGATACATTGAATAAGAATGCATTACCTCTGATTGCACCTGTACACACCAGTGACACAGTCTTCACAGATACAGGAGAAGTCGCAGCCATCATACCACTGCTGGCCTTGGAGATATCGCTGTCCTTTGTACTCACAGGTACCTAACAATCACAATAACAATGCAATTAATTAAAACAATTATCAGACTAAAAGTTTCAAACACCGGTGATGTGTAGAAAAATCAAGTGTAAAGCCATCATTTTCCGCATACAGTTGAGAACCTACATTTTGGCTGTGGCTGAGGAGTTGGTTGTGGTGTGGGCTGGACAGTGTACTGTGGATTGGGAGGCTGGTTTGTGGGATTGGGATTAGGATTAGGACCAGGTGTCATCTGAGGATTGGGAGCAGGAGTAGGCTGGGCACACTCCACAATGTCACAGCAAGGATTGGCAGGATCTTTGTGAAGTCTGCATCCTTCTGGCAAGTCAACGTAACGTGGGCATCTACAATGAGCATCCTTAAATGTAGTGTTCAGCCTTTTCAACCTCTACCCACCCATTTCCTTTAAAATTTGATACATGTATATAATATATGTAATTAAATTTAAGGGCAAAGATTTAGACAATTATCTTTAAACTGTATGCATATCAGGCATTTTAATTAACAATAAATATGTAAAACACAGATCAAATGCATGATTAGTACTACTGCAGAAATTTCTACAAAATGCAATGCAACTCATTTGTGAATTGTTGTAACAAATTGTGCTGAATAAGAACTTACTTGGGATTACATCTGTATTTTCCGTGCTCAGCATCATAGCAATCACAAGTGTAGTCACATCCATCATCCCATTTCTGTCCTTGCATGTAGGTGACACTCTTGTATACACAGAAACCTGCCAATTATGAAGATTGATATTCACAATATGAAGGCATACAGTCTATAAGAAATTTCTAAAGCATATCAGTCAAATGGACACTGACGTTTGGCAAAAGTTATTAAATCCCTCTCAATCAAAGTAGGAAAATACATGAAACTGAATTATAAAAATAATGGGTCTGATCTATAATGAAATGAAAACCGATCACATACCAACTGGTTTTGGTGATGGTTGGGGTTGTCCTGGAACTGGGCTTGGTGTGGGCAGATTGACCTTTCCTGTGATGGGAACAGGCTGAATGGTGGGTACTGGTTGTGTCTGACCTGGGCCTGGTGTGGGCTGTGGGCAAACTTCAACCAGACAGCAAGAGTCCTCAGGGTCTGTCTTCATTGTGCAACCTGGAGTCATGCTGGCAAATGTGGCACATCTAGAAGAAAAAAACAAGAACAGTTGACTTTTTTATACAAACATTTTTCAACCTCTGAACAGGTATTTTCAAAATTAATCTCCATAATTTTCACACATCTTGATGAAAAAACAAATTGAAGCAGTGTCAAATGGAAGAGGGGGGTGGGGTGGGTTAATCAATGTTTTGGGGGATTTTATCATATATATTCCCTCAGACTGACCTCTGGTTACATGTGTAGATACCGCGGCTGGAGTCGTCACAGCGACACTTGTAATTACAGCCATCCTCCCAGGTCTGTCCTTGCAGGTATTGAGCATTCTTGTACACACAGAATTCTGAAAAGAGTTACATAAATTATAAATCAATTAACTCACCAACAGATACTTTTGAGTGAATAATACATATATTACAAAATTATCCCTAACAGGTCTTAAGGAATGCTTAATTCATATGAATAATTGATATGCATTATTGAAAGATTGATCAGATTAGCTTGAAAATATCAGAAATGAAAAACATGTATGATTTTAGGTTGGTTGATTGTTATTTCAATTCCAGCTTTGAGAATATTCACAGGCAAGGCTATAGATGCAGACTTATAAAATCTTACTTTTGTGGACCTACCAAATTGAGTTTGAGCATTACTTATTTTGAGATCAGTGACCAGCAGACTTACGTTGTTTTGGGGGGAGTGTCTGAGGGAGAGCTGGATTGGGGGTGGTGGTGGGCCCTGAACCCTGACTTCCTCCGGGCTGACCGGGAATGTCACACTGTGGCTTCTTGCAGCAGGGATTGGCAAAGTCATTGACCATTCTGCAGGTGTCTGGCAGATTGGTGTACACTGGGCACCTGTTAAAGTGGAATTATTTTAATTCATCAGAATAAAAACTTTACCTTTAAAGCTCTCAACAGATGTCTATCTGTCTACACACTCATACTGTTCAATGATAAAAACAGATATCAACATAATAAAAACAGATATCTACCTGTCCACACATTCGTAGTGACCTCTGAGGGCATCAGTACAGGTACAGGTGAAGTCACAGCCATCTTCCCATCTCTCTCCTGCCTGGTACTCTACACCCTTGTACACACACTTACCTGCAGAAGATTTCAAAAACGATTCAAAACATTGTCAGCAGGTACCATTTTCAATAGCTGTAGGCTCATTTTTTTTTTTACGTCTGAAGAATGTTTGAAATTATTTCTTTTATAAAAAGGCAACTAATTTATACATGTATAACTGAGAATCATGAATTGCCTTCAAGCGCTGATAGACCTAACCCTGTTTTTACATACCAACTTTTCCTACAGTCTGTCCCTGGTAGGTCTTTGGGGGGATAGGGTGAGGCTGAGGATTGGTGGTGTTTACGGGGGTACAGTCGGGGACTCTGCAGCAGGTGGGGTCACGTGGGTCAGTGATGTAGTTACAGCCCGGCTCAGCGTTCAAGATTTCTGGGCATCTGTATTATCAGATATATAGTTATTTATTATCCCATCAATGAAATCTTTTGTTCAAAATAATTTCACAAATATAAAATTGCAGGCTGTTAAAGCCCTGTATGACCGACCTGCTAAGGCATCTGTAGACTCCATTCTCAGCATCCTCACAGGTACACTTGTAGCTGCAGCCATCATACCAGGACTGGCCTTGCTGATATTGTTTGCCATTGTACACACAGAAGTCTGTAGAAAATATTCCTCAAAACTGTATAACTAATACAAGTTATAGATATCATTAATTGTAATACGCTGTGTGTGTAAAACTTGACAGGGTTAAGAAAATAATCAAGATCTCCAAAGATTCAAAACATTATGGACAAAATATCATTTTAAAAATGTATTCGGGATATTGGCGATGATGTTAGGTCATAGTTAAACTGTATCTAATAAAAAATATTCAAATTACATAGAAATACCCTCAGTATTTGCTTTATTTGTGGTGAAATCAATTTCTTTGGACATTAAAATTTTGCCTTGATTGAAATTTAATCAAGCTTTGACCACTTACTGCCTTGTACACTGGGGGTGGTTCTCTGGCCCTCAATCTGTGGATTATGGGGGATAAATTTACACTCTGGGACTTGGCAGCAAGGATTATTTGGATCCTGTGTAAGTCGACAGTAGGGCTGGGGTACATAGTCAAATGTTCGACACCTTAATAAACACAGAGAAACATGTTTGTACAATTTGTAACACTTTTATATTGAAAATGTTCCCATACACATTAAATCATATCAAGTTTTAAGGGTAAGAGAGAACATAAGATTTGCAATCCACAACGATTCTTTCTAAAATCCTTTAACTTTTAATGCCCTTATCTTTCACTTTTATTGCAACTACATGTAATAGGTTGCCTTCCATGTTGGTTACCTACTTGTCAATACATTTGTGTTACCTACTTGTCAATAGATTAGTCTTACTTACTTGTCAATACATTTGTAATGTCCGACAGCTCCGTCATCACAAACACAGTTGTAGTCACATCCATCTTCCCAGGTCTGTCCAGCATTGTAACGCTGGCCCTTGTACATACAGAAACCTGAAGAGTCCACATAAAAAATTTAATAAAACTTAGATTCCTTATATTCCAAACATTTAATTAACATGATAAAGTACTTAAGGTGAAAATATATGATTCTTAAGGTGAAAATATATGATTCTATGTATTTCCTGCAGCTGTGGCCAATGCTTTTAGATAAAGAAGAGATAAAAAATATATGGGGCAATTAAAACTTAAATACCTTGTTTGACATTCACTGGGGCAGTTGGTGCTACAGGTTGCATTCCAGTAGTATTCAGGATGACCCAGGGTCCGTCGGGGTACACAGTGGGATACATGGTGGGGACAGGGGGCTTCACCATTCCAATGCCAGAGGTAGCTTGGCCATATGAGGGTACAGGTACAGGGACTTGGCCAGTGGCTACATCAAATCCACATTTGGGAACCATACAGCAAGGGTCATTGGTGTCTGTGACCATGACACATGTAGCAGCTAAGTTAGGGTAGGATGGACACCTAAAATATAGAAAAAATTAAAGTTTATAATCTGAAGCTTCTTCCAGCTTACAGAATATATCAATTAATTTTTTTAAATTAAAAATGCATTTCAATCTTAATGTATCATATACCTGTAGGTATCCAAGAGAAACATGATTTAGTCCTAATCAAAAGGATCATTTAATGTCACTACTTAATATCCTGGCTGTTTTGAAATTTTATCAGAAAACAAGTTTTGCAATCCCCCCTTCCCCTGGCTAAATGCAAAATATAAAAGGAAAACCTAAACAAGGATACATACTTTTCACGACATTTATAGTCCCCTGTGGCAGCATTCAAACATGAGCAAGTGTATTTGCAGCCATCATCCCACATTTGTCCTTGTGCATAAATCTGACCATTGTATAGACATCCCTCTGAAAAATATTTCAAATAAATAATGCTGAATTTACTTTTCCTTACTCCACTTACTCTAGTAATATTTTCCACATGGGTATAATATATGCTATGTATGTAGTCACAAATTTTACAATATGGAAATTCATCATGAAAGGGTACTTGAATGAAATTTAAGACATACAAAATTACATAATTTGCTACCCTCAGATTAAACAGAAATTGTGATTATGGGGAATAATGACCCCAAGGCAAAAAAAATGTTTATAGTAAATGCATTCTCATTGGTGGAGGAAGCCCCACATACTTAGTGTGGGGGCCTGAAATCCAGTTCCACCAGATCCGATCTGTGTCTGACCGTAGGGGGGAGTCTGAATGTGGTTGCCAGGGGGGTACAGTACGTTGATCAATCCTCCATTTCCAATAGAGTTGATGTTCTGACTGGATGTGTAGAAGACTCCAGACTGACAGTTAACCTGGGGACAGCATTCTCCTCTCTTGGTGACAACATTGCAGCCAGCTGGCAAGTTGTTATACTGTGGGCACCTGGACAAATAAAATTAGTCTTTAATTAATATAAGATGGTTAAAAACATCATTGAAAATATAAAAATCTAAGAGGCAGTTGAACAACAAAATAGAGGAACATATATTTCTCCTTACGCATCATTGCATCTGTAGTAGCCGTAGTGGGCATTTTCACATGAACATCTAGTGCTACAATCAGGTTCCCAGGACTGGCCTTGTAAGTAGGTCTTTCCCTTGTAAATGCACACATCTACAAGGAAGCATTACTATAATTGAACTTCATTCACTTATAAAACAAAAAATTCAAAATGCAACCAAATATGGTACCAGTAAATGGAAATCCTTAATTATGGAAACACATTAACTTAATATTCTTTGTTTGAAGTAACCATAAACAGTGTGTACATGCATATATAATCTTCTCTTTACTTACCTCCAGCAGCTGGCTGAACAACAGAGTTCTCTGAAATATGGAACACAGAAAGTGACAAAATATGATACAATTCAACCTCATTAGATTTTACATTCACTTATCAGTATTTATAGAAGAGGAACGCTAGCTTTTAAATTTTTAATATGACAAACAATGTGTAAATGAGCTTTTTGATTTTTTTTGTTCATTATTTTAATAATTTTTTTTTTTTATATAAAATCTTACGGCAGATGCCACAGTATTTTCTGCAGTTGTTTGAGGCCCACTGTGCGTATGTGGTGCAAGTGGATTTTCCGTACACTTTACAGTTGGTTGCAACATCTACACAGGGCTGGGGTGGTACCATGTTTTGACCTGTAGAAATATAAAAGTGCATTAATTTACCTCATACACTTTCTACACATCAAATTTTAAAAATTTAGGCACCTTATATTGACCTATTGGATGCAAATTAACCTCATGAGAAATTATTTCAGCAATAAAAATATGTGTAAACTAGGAATAAATACAAATTTATAGACTTTGTATGCTTATACAATTACAAAGAATGTCAAGATGCAGAGGCGACTATCATAATCGCCCATACCTAACAAGTAATTAGATTATATACTAGTAGTACAGACCTGTTCCTTCACCGCTGGTAAATCCATATCCAGTGTAACTACCCTGCTGTTGATCAAATTCACAGGAGGGGGTGGAGCAGCAGGATCCTGGGTCCTTGTGTAGGTGACATCCCCGGGGCAGGATGGAGTAGGTGGGGCACCTGCACAATTAAAATATTGGTCTTATACTGTAACATCAACAACTGTAGTATAAAAGCTGTAGTAATTAAGCAAATCCTAAACCTTTTGACCCCATTCATTAAATTTAATTACTGTAAATCACTTTTTATTTGCGAGAATTTTGTTTTCGCGTAATTACGCCAGACAGTGTGCTCGCGAAAATTAAATTCTCACGTATGATAGTATTTCTTAAGATTATATAGAGCAATAACCACAATTCGTGAAAATTTTGTCTCGCTAATCAAGAGTCAATGACTATCTCGTGAAAATAAGGTGTCGCGAAAATTTAGTGATCTACAGTACGGTAATTTATGTTAAGAAAAGGACCTGGGTACTATATATACAGTATTACATGTATATGTAGTAGAAAGCTCATTATCTGACTTTTAAGATCAAGACTTATCTCCTTTAAAACACAACATTTCCTAATGTATAACTCTGCATTTGACTCCAAACAAAACTGTAATTTTAGTTCTAGCTCCAGACAGTTCTAATAGACAAATGAAAATCTGCAGCTTACAATTGTTCACAGGAGTAGTATCCCTTAGAGGCATCAAGACAAGTACACTGATACTGGCAGCCGTCTTTCCAGGTCTGGCCTTGGAAGTACATCTTGGATTTGTAAGCACAAGTAGCTACAAAAAATATCAAATTAAAATGAAAATTTCCATCCGAGACTAATCAAATTGAATATCTTTCTCAAAATAATTGTCACTTTAATTTTATGTAATGCTGATGAGATTTTATCACTCACGTATTCCAGTGGCTGTGGTAGCCATTGCAGTGTTGTTGAATCGGCTGACTGAAGGGTTAAAGTTGCAAACTGGCTGCAGACAGCATTCTCCTTCCTTCTTCACCAATGTACACATGGATGGAAGGTTATAGTACAGAGGACATCTACAAGAAAATATTGAATGATTTATGTGTTGTTTTCTGAATCTAACTTCTTTAGTTATATCTTTACAAAATTTAATACTGGATATATATGTATTTTGTATGTAAAAGGAGGAATAATTCAATTTTTTCATAATTTACCTACTACCTATTTCAGTTTTTGAAAAAAATCAATAAATTTGGGAATGTTTGACTAATGCGACATTGCCTGATAAACTTCTATATAACTTTTTAAAATCATATTGGAGGAGGGGGTGGGGTGGGTGGGGAGAAAAATGAATACATTTTAAAATTCCATTTATCTTCAGTTTCTTATCAATTACTTTTAAATTCTACAATTACGTATACAAATAGCCTTTAATTTAGAAATAACAGAAATTCATGAAAGGACCATTATAAATGACAAAAAGCATGAATAAATATATTAAAAGTTGAAAATATTTAACCTGTTGTAGCATTTGTAGTCTCCCTTGTTTCCGTCCCTACAAACACATTCATAGTCACATCCATCTGTCCATTTCTCTCCAGTCTGGTACATCTTTCCTTTGTAGTTACACATTCCATCTGTATAGGCATATATCAGATAAGGATTATGAAGTATTACAAATTATAAAACATTGTGACAACAACAATTCCTTTAAAGCCTTCTATGTTTTTTTTTTTCAGAATATGATTTTGTCTAAATGTCATTTTAAAATTGAATACTCACAGAATCCATTGGAGCTGGCTGAAGTACCTGAAAACAACAAGAGAAATATGAAGCTACATTTACGGTAAATTAAGATGTTTAATAATTAAGAATTAAACTTCAAAAAAAAAAAAATTACATTTAGGCATCAAAAAATCAAAAAGTATTTTTTAATATGAAACATTTTATAATTTAGTTTTGATCAGTTTGTTTATTCATATGAAATTAACATCCATAGATTGTCGTTTCAAAGAAGAATTAAAAAATTAAAACGTTATTTTTTTTTTTTTTTATAATTCAAGTTTGAACGATGTGACTAATAGTATTATTTTGTTTAAATTCCAAACTAGTCATAGCCACTTCATCACAAAATCGTATGCACTGACCACAGAATCCACAGTAGAGTTTGCAGTTGTCCTGGGCCCAGCTTCCGTGGGAACTACACACATCTCTGCCGTAACTCTCACAGTTTGTAAGCTTGTTGGTGCAAGATGGGAACTTGGTAATGTATTGGTCTACAATTAAAATATTACATATAATGATCTATTCATCGATTGTTTATTCCATTACTATCAGGTTGTGCTCAGTGCTCACATCGGAAGTTTTCCAAAGATACTAATGCAAACAAAGCGATATCAATCCGAAATAGGTCGTCGCGAATTCCGTTTTCACGACTCACAATAATTCATTAGCTTTTTAACATAGGCGCTCCCCATGTAATTCTGTAAATGACGTATGATAAGTATATATAGGTCTACCCCTCTACACTATAAAATAACCGGGTTATTTTATAGTATAGAGGGGGAGACCTATATACACTTATCATACGTCATTTACAGAATTACATGGGGAGCGTCTATGCTTTTTAATAATACCTTTACCTATAAAAAATATATTTTGTCTGCATCTATATCATACATGTACTTACAAGAACATAGTCCACAAGACTTTTTGCAGTTGGCCTCAGCCCACTTTGGATAATCTCTGCATACGTTGTTTCCGTATTCGTTGCAGTTTGTGATTTTGTCGGCACAAGTTACGGTAGAAGAGCTGGCAAAGTTGTAAGTGCTTGAAACTGTTCAAAGCAATTAAAACAAATATTTTATTTGGGATATTAGATTACCACAAACATTTTCCTTAACCATGTTTACTTGAAGATTTCAACACCACCGGAAAGGGGGGGGTGCGTTGGTGCAATCACACCCCTTTAAAAAAAAACTTTAAATAATATTTAATATTAAAAAAATTTTTTAAATGTTGTTTTCTTTTTGTTTATTTTAATGTAAAGAAATATCTTCAGGAATGCCATAGAATTCGCCAAAATGCTACCCATTTATATGAAGAAAAAAAATCTGGTTCTGAGAGAAGGATATCCCTCTCAGATACACTCCCCCCCCCCCCCCCCCCCTTTTTCACTTCAGAAACCAAGCGACCTGGATTTAATTACTAACCAGAGCATGCTTGGTTGAGAACCTGGTTAGCCACTTTTTCAAGTTGATCGAAGTCGTTGACAGTGATCACGTGACTTCCAGCTGGCTGGTTGGCGATAGACTGAATTTCTTGTTGGTTGACGTTGCTTCCAATGCCAACAACATTAAGTCCGATACCGGCTTGTCTTGCAATGTTAGCTGCATTGATGGCGGCCTGGCTGTCAACGGTACCGCCATTTGTCAGCAAAATGGCGATTCTTGGTACGTTGCTTCTGGCTCCACTGGTAACAGAGAACATCTCGTCTGTGGTGAATTTGATTGCATCGGCTGTGTTTGTTCCTCCACTGGTCATGTGTAGATTCTCCACGGCGTGTAAAACGTCTCCACGGCTCCCGTACAGTTTCAGAGGGAAGCCCATGGTCGGATAGCTACTGTACTGCATGACGCCCACCTGAACTTTGTCATGGCCCACATCCATGTTGGTGATGATGTTCTTCAGGAAGTTTTGTGTTTTCTGGAAGTTTTCACTTCCGACACTTGTAGAAGAATCTACCATGAAGACAACATCGGCCTTGTGGAGACATCCTGTAAAACCAAAAGGTACATTTAGCACAAATGTACACAATATACGTTGAAGACGTATGTTTTAAATGTTAAGTGCTTCAAATTGAGAATTTCGCATGATATACCTGTTGGAGCTGGAAGAGTGGATGTGTCTGGTGGCAACTCTGCAAGACAGCAAATGAAAAATTATGACAATTGTTCATTTAATACCATTCTTTAGACTATATGATTGGTCTAGTTGAAGACATGAGCAGACTATATTAAATATCTTTTTAGGAGTTTTCGGAATATTTTTCCTACCATTGCAGATTTTGGTGGCGAGCATGTCAGACAAGCTGTTCAGAGTTTCGTAGTTATCAGCAAACATGGAGTATCTGAGGTCTGGGTTGCTGGACACGGATGTCAGTTCGTCCACATCTACCCCACTGCCCACGCCCACCGTGTAGATAATGGCATTGTTATCCTTTGCCGTCTGGGCTTGCAGTTTTGTGATAGCCTTTGTGGTGGACGGCCCGTCCGTCAGGAGAACAGCAATGTGTGGCACATCTCCTCGGGCTCCATGCGCTGGGCTGAAGCTCTGCTGCGACATGAACTTAAGAGCATCAGCAGTATCGGTGTTACCCGGGAAATACTGAATGCCACTAATTGCTTGCAGAACATCACCCTTCCGCGTGTAGTCATTGAGGTAGAATTTGTTGTGGACTCCAGAACTAAACGTCAGAGCACTAACGTGGACCTGGTTCTGTCCCACATTTAATTTATTTGTCACATCCTTAAGAAAATCTAATTGTTTATTAAAATTTAATTGTCCTACGGTGTCTGAAGAGTCTATCATGAACGTCACATCAGCTCTTGTATTGCACCCTGAAAGAATACGGTAAGTTTGAATATTATCAAGATATAATATCAGATGACTAGTCTGTCAATTTTTCACATAATGAAGTAAAAAAAAAAATGGCTTCCCAAATTGAAAATGTTTTGTTTCAGAAATGTTGACTTATGTCATATTGTTTTTTTTTTCTATATGTGATTGACTTTCAAAAATTTTAAAATCAGTTTCAAATATATTTTCAAATTATCCATTAAGAGTACCGCCCTCAATACAAATCCTTGTAGAACTCCTTTGAAATCTAAGCTCGATATGGAATATGTGCACAAATGCAATATGTACATAAGTGGAATATTTGGTAGAATTTTACAAAATCTGTTACACCCAGATTTCCTTTCATTTATTAGAACGTTATAACAGATACATGCCCATTAAGATTATACAACACGAGCCTTATCAATGGGATTGTCAATTCCAGGTCTGGGAAATAACATGTGTTCCACAGACAATGGTGTAATTTTGATAGATGAAAATTGATGATTGAAATTCAATGCAAATCATATTTGTAACATGCGTTTATGTTTTTCCATGAAGCAATATGTTGAAATAAAAATCCATTTGAATTATATAAAGTCATTCAGCAAAGTAGAATCTTTTCTGTGTCCTCCTGATTTATTCAATACTCATGCAATTTCTTTTAGGAAGCCATGTGCTTTCATTTATGTTGAGTTATGCTATATTAAAGTAATTTGTATGGACATTATACAGCAGTGAAAACATTTTCTTCAGAATATAAATTTAAGTTGCATCATGTGATGTTGAACACGCGAAATACCAAAAGTTTATCGAAATAATACAACCAAGTACTAAACCAATGTCTATTTATTATTTCTTATATATACATATTCTATTTCTTTATAAGAAAGGTTGTACATTATCAAACCCATATCACATACTGGAATGTTAATTTATTTTGTAATTAAACAAATAAGCAAAAATTCTAAAAGTAATTAAACAGTTTTCAAAATTAAAAAGAGTTTAATAAAATTTATTTTCCAATTTGATTTCAAATTTTAAAAAAAGTGTATATACTAAAAACCAGCAAATCAGAAATATTATTCCATAGCTGTGAATGCACTTTCAAATTTCTATTTCTATTTTAAAGTGATGAAGCATATGCAAATTAAAGAAGATGATGCTCAAAATCATAAATGTTACGTAATATTTAAGAAAAAAAAACAAATACAGACCCGTCGAAAGTGCCGCCGCGCCATGGACGGCGACTAACCAAAGAATGAACGTAATCATCCTTTGGATTGTACGAAACGAAATAGTGAAATCAGAGAAAGGCTTTGCATATATACTGCTATCTCATGTATGGGCGCCAAAGGTGAGGCTAGGCCAATGTATTTTTCATTGCAATATTTGTTTTGAATCGATTGATAATTTGCGTTGAAACTTTTCAATTTAAGAAAGTTATATGACTTTATCATTCCCAACTGAACAAAATGGACATTCGCTGCTTTTTATACATATAAGAGTTTTGCAAAAATATATTTATTTTTTAACTTTGATACAGAAATTTCTTTGCTTGGCCTAAGTCTTTTTGTGTAAGCTGATAAGCTTTGGAGTGCCCGTGTCAGGTCGCAAGATCAGTAAGGGTCATCCATCTTATAAGCATTTCCGTAAAATTCTTCTAGAAATAGAAACAACCTTCGCAGAACTCCTCCAGATTTAGGCATGGTATCTTTGAAAAATGCACCCGGAACATCGATGATTTTGCAAGTTAGAAAACATTTCCTTGTCATGAGTAATAAATGCGTGTGCCCAATGAGAATGAGCCTGGTGTTTTTCTTCGTTTTATTTTATTCTGACTGTATATGTGTATTGTATTCGTTGTTTCAAGGTTCACAAGTTTGATAAGATCACCTAAATGTGAAGACTTCATCTCTTTTGGAATCAAGGTAGGATTTGATGGGGCATCTATACACTTAGTATAATACACAGTATAATTAAAATATCATATATGAAATGACCAATTTTTAATTTACTTTTGAATTTTGTATTTTATACGCTCTGGTTAGAATGTGTCATCCCCATTCCCAACTTCACCCCACCTCTTATTTTTCCTATCACAAAATAACAAAGTGTAAAGTCTGTCTTACATAAAAAGAAATAGATCTATGTAAAAAAAAAAAAATAATAATCCAGAGTGAAACAAAACCAAAAATGAATGTTTAAAAAAAAAAAGATGTACAAGAAGCAGGTTTTCTTATTCATGGACCCTTTCTTTGGAAGATATGTGAAACATTCTCATTTACAATTTTTGGCTCTGACATTAGTTTGAAGTTTAATATTTTCGTGTTCAAGTTAATGAAAATGTATTGTGCCTTACTACTGTTTGTCCCTTTAATTTTTTTTTTTATACCAGTGCTAGAATATACATGTACTTGTAAGTTTATAAGTTGGCACGGTATGTAATTTTTCAATGTAGAAAAATTTTCAATAGTTTAGACATTTTTGCATTTTATATTATAAGTATTTAATGATATACATTATTGAGAACCTTTTGAAAACACATTGTCCATTAATATAAGGTTTTATATTTGAAAACAATATTTAAAAAGTATTTTAAAAATCTCCTCTTATACAAGGACGTGGGCACATCTCCAACGCAAGTGAGGTGTTGCTTTATATTTTCGGGGTGGGGGTGCTGTTACAAAAGAATACAATTTTATGTAAACTTCAATACTTATAATTTCATAATACCTTCTCGTCAGTTATATAAATACGTGTATCATGACCCTAACTGATATGTACAGTTGTATAGTTATGAACAATATATACTGCATTAACCTTCGAGGTACATGTAAGCATATCGATATGTTTTAGATAATATTTAGGAGAATGATTAGGGTTTTTTTTTTTAGCTATATTGATTAAATTCAAAACATTTACTTGAAGTCCCTCTTTTTCAAGGACTTCGGGATATTCCAAAAGTTTCTTTTAAAAAAAGAAATAAGTAATTAATTTACATATATATTTTTTAAACAAAGATGTAAATACAGTATGTCCTAATTCAGTGTAGCCTGTACAGATTCGGTCAAAGTGATCAATTGAAGATTGGTTTATTCCTTTATCCAAACACAACATTAATCATTTCACCCCAATTTTAGTAAATTTCATTCCGCAAATTCAGAAATACCGTTAAAGAATGTATTTTATTCTCGGAATTGTCGCTTTTTTCAAGAGCAGTTAATTGGGGTTGTTCTTTTTGCACAAAAAGTATGTTTTGAATGTCTTTATTTACTGTGGGTATTTAAACATATTAATTAAAAATTGTCCACTTTTTCTCTAATTAGAGGCTTGGTCGCATCGTATCTCGGAAAGAAGAATGTTGATAAAACTAGAAGTAAGAACCCTTCGTAGGAGTCATATGAAAACAGCTTTAATCAGCATTTGGTATACAGCCTACAATATGATCCATTTCCAAAAGTCGCAAAACATGGGAGAGTCCGTTGTATAACGCACATCGTAGATAGCTACTGCGCTTTATTAATTAACAGGGCATGCAAGTTCTTTCTGGATAAAAATAAGTTAGTGCTTTATCAGATGAAGCGAGGTGAAATCTTTTAAATTTAATATTGTTCAAATGGTAATTTATTACATATTATTGATAGATTTATGTTTCAGATTTAATCATAATACGTTTCTAAGATTTTACTAACTTGTTTATTTCGTTAAATTAACATTTTCCTTTCAAAAAGTTACAAGAAGTAAATTAATCACATTAAACATAGGCGTTGGAACGGTAAGCCCCCCCCCCCCACTTTATTTGTTTTTTTTTTGCAAAGATAGACATAATATGAGGCATTGAACATCGGGGCGTATTTGTAGGATTACCCCCCCCCCCCTTTCAAATGTTACGTGCAGTTCAGGTTAAAAAAGAAAAATTTAGTATCAAAAAAATTTGATCCTACACCCCATCCCCCCCCCCCCCACACACACACCCTCGCACACGAAATAGGATTTCCATGTTTGGTCAATGGACACATTTGCCTTTTTTTGCTTGTTTGTATGTTTGGTTTTTTTTTTTGTTTTTTTGTTTTTTGGTGTGGGTTTTTTTTGCTTGTCAAGTTTGATTGTAGGTTTGAATTTTTTTTTCTCTTTCACTTACCCCCCCCCCCCCCCCCCCCCGTTTCAGTTTGCTTCCAACGCCGTTAATTATATACAGAATAAATTTGAATAACTTCTTTCAATCTTGACAGATACAATTTCTTCTGGCTAGATTACCAACATGAACCACAGCTTCTCGGGAACTTAATACTATACCCCACCCCAACCCCATTCCACTGTTCCGTGGTCTACGCACCACAAAGAAAATTACAAGTACATTGATTCTGGCAATGCAATATGGGACTAAATATTTGTACCTGTACTTTATTACTGTTCAGATATAGAAGTAAACAGCAAGGAATTCGTGAAGTTGTTACTAATTTTCATAGTCAACATTTAAAATTTCATTTTTAGCATATAAAAGTGTTCTCCTACTCTTCCATAATTTTTTTCCCATTTATACCATCAATATATGTATTCATGTTTATTCGCCTTTTCGACACCCTTAATTAACTTTTATTTCCTGAATGTCATATATGTCATCAAGTATCTTGTACAGTTTAGAAAATATCAACGGAAATTGGGTACGGACAGACGCATGGATACACAGGAAGTTTGCCTAAATAAGAATCCTCCCTTGTGTCATCTTAAAACAGTGTGTGCTGATTATAGGCATCTGTTGAGAAAACTTCAAC